GACTCGTACGGCTCTTCGGGTCGTGACAACGACACCTACGGCTCTTCCAAGGGTGACTCGTACGGCTCCTCGGGCCGCGACAACTACGGCTCTTCTGACAACAAGGGTGACTCATACGGTTCCACCACTGGTGGTGGCTACGGCTCCTCAGGCCGTGACACCAGCGACAGTTACAGTTCCTCCAAGGGCGACTCATACGGCTCATCTGGCGGTGCCGGTGGTTACGGTGGCTCCTCTGCTAGCGGCCGCAATGACGACTCCTACGGCTCCTCCGGGAAGGGAGACTCTTACGGAACTTCTGGCGACCGTGACAATGACGACGGTGGTAAGCCCAGCCTTGGTGACCGCATCAAGAACAAGCTTCACCACTAAGGGCGGTATGGTCGTTTAGCTTGCGCGCTCCTATATCATTTCCTGCTTTTTTGGTCTAACTAGCTAGTCTCGCTTAACCACGTGTATGTATCGTTAAGGCTTACGATGAAAAATCTAAAAATAAAATAAAAATGTAACGTTATGCATTGATCCTATACTTACGTTCCTTCTTTCATCTGTGTGCGCACCAAGTGTTCGTTATATCGGCCATGAAGTTAGCTAAAGTTTGATTTCATACCAAGTTGATGTTAATAAATCTCCTGTGTCAACCAAAAGACCAACCCCATTTAGCCATTAAATGTGAGTGAGTACAAAGCCTGGCGGGTTGAATAGTATTCAACGGCGTCATCAATGGCATGATCACGTGTCTCACTTTACACATGTAAACATAACAAGCAAAACAGTTGATTCTCACATCTCGTTAATATATATATATGTTTATATGTATAGGTATATTTATAATTTTCACACTAATTGGCGTCATATGTAGTCATGAACTCTTCGTCATACCTCCTGCTCGGACATCCAGAACTTGGGTCCCATTTATATCCTCCTCTGAAGCTTCCTCTGTTGATCGTGCTGTCATTGCCTCTTCCTTTTTTTTTCTCTCCGATAATTCGAAAACATGATATCCAAGAATTGTATATAATAGAAAATTATAAACTCTTCCCGCCGTGGCCAATGGATTCTTGGTACCCTCGAAGTACCATCTGGAGCGGTGATGCCGTGATTATTTATTCACGTATCATAAATCCCAGAGATTGGGCCGGGCTGCAGCTCGTCAAAGCGTTTTGCAATTGTCGGTGGCGAGCAGCCTGATCTGGTCACGGACGCTGCATGTCCTGGCTAGTTCATTATGCCTTAGCATCTGTGTGACTCGGACTGCCCTTCAGGAACACTGTCTGCTCCTGGCATGGCCCGGCGTGTCCCCAGCCTGGCGTGTTGTAGCGTACTATCTACATAGAGAAAAGGGGGTGTCCCTCAAGTGGCCACTTAAAGGAACCCAGACTCGGCCAGTACCCTGTGGCGAGGAATAAGTATTTGGTTCTATGGTTGGGGAGAAGAGGGAACATACCTGACAATCTTCTCGTCCTCACGCTCGCGCGGCTCAACCTGCAGACTACGGTCGTACATCTCGTGAACGTCACCAGCGGCCTGCATATTGCTAAGAATATAGTCCTGCAGCTCGGGGACGGGTTGCAGCGAGTACCCGACATTCTGGTACTGCTGGATGTCGCGAATGACTTCGGCCGTCTTGGCCCTCTTGGCGAAGTTGATGAGGTTGGTCTTTTTGATAATGGAGGGGATACCGTCTTCGATGAAGGTGAGATCGGTCAAGTACACACCTATTGCGTAGCACGTATGTCAGCCAATGTCAGAACTACATGTATCAGGTAGGGTGGGGTTTAGGTAGTACCCCTAACCAGAGAGGAGGGGGGGGGAATATACCGAAGAAAGGAACACACGGCGGGTTAGCAGCATGCAGCTGCTCTCTGTACTCGCCAAAATTCTTGGTGCTAGCCATGATGCGCCGCATCGATTCGAGTGTAGCCTGAGTCCTCTGAGGAACCTGGTCCCACGTGCGCTTGAGACGGGAGATTGGTGCCGTTCCCAACGCCGATATGATGGATGTCAGTGTTGAGAAGTTGTTCATTCCGCGGCATTTCTGTGTTTGAAAGTGTGAGTGATATGCGATATCAAAATTTGGGATAATGCTGATTGTTCTTGTCTCATAGGACAGAGCAAGATAGCAGATATAAAAAGACTTACATCTGCAACGGCAACAAAGTGCTTTATTACAACAACACGCTTCCTGGCCTCCGCCTGGGCGAGAATCATCTCGGCGACCCAGTTGGTCATCTGGTTCGAGTGCAGGATCAGGGCCTTGACATTGGGGGCCAGCTCCGACTCTCCCTCGGGCACCTTCTTCTGCCACGTCTTGTTGAGGCATTCGGTGGGGCGGATCTTACCGTACAGGCGCGACTCGATGATGGTGAGCTGGCGGGCAAATTCGGTCACATCAATGTCAAGGAACTTGAGCTTCTTCATGTTTTTGGGCATGATGGGCGATGGTGTGTTCTGGTTGAGCGTCTGGATCATCCTACGCGCACCGGCCTCCTTGCCGCTGAGCCTCTGGTCCAGAACTGTCATGAGCGGCTGCGACCCGGGAGTCTCGGTCGACTTGACTGTGTCCTTGGCGAAGCTGTAGACGTCACGAATAATCTGCTTCGAGTCTTCGTTATAATCCTCCATCCAGAAGCCATCGAACCAGTTCTTGAGGATGTTCACCACGCGGAACCGGATCAACTTCTGCTTGCGGGCCTGCCACGTCTCGAACTCAGTCTGGCTGAGACCGGGAGGAGGCTGGATGCCGAATCTCTTGACCAGAAGCTCAAAGAGCTCGCGAGCCGAGGTGAAGGATCGGTACGTCAGCAGGAACGTGTTGTTGAAGCTCGAGTCCAGCTTGTCATGACGTGTTAGCTGCTCGACGAGACCCAGAAGGGAACCTCCCTTGACCGTGGGAGGTGACGTCTTGGTCTCCCAGGAGACCTCGTGCTCGAAGTCAAGGAGCAGGAACGGGGGAATCTCCTCGGCAGCGGCGACAGTCGTCTGGGGCGTCGGGTCCTCGCCCAGAATCTTCTTGACCTTGGCCGCATCACCCTTCCTAAACCCACCCGGCGGCGGGTCACCCTCGGAGAAAGATTGTGCCGTAAGCAACGGTGGTCGCGTGTCCGTAGTCCTCGAGTCTGAGCGCTGGTGTATGCGGTCGCTTGACATGGCCTCGCCCCTCTGTAAGTGGCGGGTCCGAAGGACGTAGTCGGCCCAGACACCCGAGTCGACCTGCTGCCTCTGATTCTGCGGTGGCATCGTATTCTGCAAATTGATCTGCACCTGCTCTTGGAGAAGCTGGAGGGAAAAGCCGATGTGTGCCGAGTTGGTCTCCAGGGCCCTGGCACACTGCCTGACATAGTCCAAGCGGTTCTCAAGAGCCTCACCGCGGACTTCTGCCCACTCGTCAGCCAGCGGGCCGGCGACGGCCTGGCAGCTGAGGACAAGATCGGCAATGTTATCGTACAGGCTCTGCTTGTTGACGCTGAAGTCGGCGAGTTGTGGGGTCTGGAAGGTGTTGCCGAGGGACGAGAGATCTATAGACTCGATCATGGAGATCCAAGACTTGAAGGCCTCGACAACCCTGCCACCACTGAGGCACACGCTGTTGCCAACCAGCTCGTGGCGCTGCGGGGTTATGATCTTGTCGGGGGTGACGAGGCATTTGTCGAGCTCGCGGATACTCGACACCAGCATGCGCTTGTACTCGTCCAGCCTCGCCAGAAGCTGACCGTCAAGCATGGCGGTGGGCTCCATGACGCCCTCCTCATCCTCTAGGAAGTTAACGATGATAGGGTCTCGAGGACCGAGGCCGTTGTTCTGCCAGCTGCCCCCGGTGTTGCTTCCGACGACGAAGCCGGGGAACAAGCGTGGAATATCCTCGCCACGCTGCTGCTTGGCAACCTCGACGTAGCTGAAGACACCCAGGAGCACGCCGTCTGCCTCCTGGAGACATTTCTGTACTGATTCGGCATTCGGCCAGTCTGCGGCTGCGATGTGGGAGGAGATGACGAGCTTGGAGAACTTGGACATCATGTCTCGGAAGTGAGGGTAAAGAGCCTTGTTGGTGGAGATGATAGAAGGTTGGCCCGAGTGGTTATCGGTGGTGCCCGACCCGGCAGCGAGGAGCAAGCGCAGATGGTCCGAAATGTCCTCGGCCCGTGCAACGTACTCAGAGCGCCTACTATTAGAGATTGCATCGCGGTACTGGTCAATGGCGTGCTTCATGTTGCCCACGAGAAGGCTCCACGTCAGGGGCGGGCTAGCCCCATCATCAAAGAATGATTTGGGTACGGCCGTGGTGGTAGGGATGTTGTACGTGGTGCTCGTAAAAGATGTAGCCGAGGCCATGTTGTGCGTTTGGCCGGGAGCAAGCTGGCCGGTAGAGATAGTGTCGTGGCGGGGGCGACCACCAGCTGACATGCCGTTTATCGAGTCCATGGATGCCGAGGGCGAAAGCATGGTGCTGATAGATCCACGAGGTTGGATGTTGCTCTGCGGGAGGATAAAGGAGCATTGTTAGACAGAAACATATAAAAATATACGAGTCGGGCGTATAAAATAGAAGGAATTCGGTGCGAGTGCAGAGTGGCTATACATACCTGTGTACCACGTCGTGTGACGCGAACATGGCCACCCTCTACCTCTGAAACCGAGGTAGCCGAGTCGTAGTCCTCGTCCTGGGTGAGGCCCCTGGCCATCATTTCCGGTGGTAGACGGGTCCTCTCAGGGATAGACACGTTCATCCGGTCCCTGGGGCCAGTCTCGTTTGACACTGGGGGCTCCAAGGGCAGCTCCATGCTTCTCTCTCCCGTCATCATGTTGTAGTAAAACAGGCGGCCGTCGGGGGTTGCCTGGGGGATCCAGAAGTCGGCTCGCGACTTGTCGGCCATGTCGTTGCCCTCGATAGGCAGTGCGGTAGGGCCATCGAACTCTGAATCGTCGTCCTGCTCGTAGCCGTCATCGTACGGGTCGGCGTCGTCGCCATCGTCGTCAAGGTGGTCGAACTGGGGGGGGAACTGGGTAGGATCGGGCAGGTCATCGGGGCTGGTGATGGTCTGGCAGTAATTGCTGGGGAACCAGCCTCGGACTCCGTTGATTACGCCATCCCACCAGCCGCTGTCTAGCTGAGTGATGACCTGAATAACATCTCCTTCGTGGAAGCTTAAGCTGGTCCTATCGTCGGCCTCGTAGTCGTACAATGCACGAACATACATGGCGCCCGGGGGCGGTGACCCCACAATTCCGTTCATGAGAGTCGGTGAGATGTCGGACTTGTCGTGAGAGAGTAGGTTGAGCGGGAAAGAGGAGAGGATAATGAGGACGTGGATGAGTCAGTGGGAGATCAAAGGAGGACTGTTGTGTTTGGTCGTTGTCGTCGGGTGGTCGCCCGTGTCAAAACCGTTCTGAAGTGGCGGGCTCGGAGGGGCGCAGCCGTTGAGGGGCAGATTGCACCGATGCGAGTGCGTGTGTCGCAGACAGTTGATGGAAGAGGGTGAAACAGGGTCAACGGTATATTATGATGCAGATATAATAAATAAAGGCGGCCAGTGTCCGACAAGTAGAGACGTCAAGGGGAAGCAGGTGAAGAAAGAAGAAAGAAGAAGAATACTATGATCCGAAATTATTTCGCCAGAAGAGAGAGCCAGGAAGCGACGGCTGCGCGAAAGGGGCAGGCGACAGTCAAAGGAGCATCACCACTCGCCTGCCGCCTGTCTGTTTGCGGTTGATGGATGAGCTGCTGCTGATGAGTGTCGGCCCAGAGCCGGTTGTATCGCTTCGGTATCGTCTCGGTGCGGCTCGGTGCAGGTGGTACGGAGGGAGAACGAAATGCCCCAACTGGGGGCGGAGGAGCGGAGGAGAGGAGGAGGGGGAGAGGATGGGTGAGAAGAGGTAGGCGAGAGAAAGAAAGGCGGTCGTAAATGGCGTCTAGAGGAGGGTGGGGGAGGAGGAGAAGGAGGAGGGGGGAGGAAGAAGATGGAGGCGAGTTCACCAACGAGGGCACCAAGGAGTGAAGAGCAGGCGAAATGCAGCAGTAGAGTACACAGAGAACGCCAAAATTGAGGAAGATTGGCAGAGACTAGAGGAGGGGGTTTTGCTACTCGTTGAACTACTCCTGTGTCACGCAGTAGTAAAAGGCAGTAGGGAACAACTGGAAAGCTATTACCTTAGTAGTACTAATTGGACCGTAAAGGTGCAGAGAGGGGGGAGGGGACAATCTCGTGGGTGGAGTGGTTTTTTTTTTTTTTGACAGTTGTACGCTATTGTACGTGGTATGTTGGTCAAGGGGCGTTTGGTAAGCTTTAAGGAGTTGTTAGTATCGCTACTGGTCTATCTCTACTGCATTAGTTATACAATACAGTCAGTATGAGTAAATAACGACATTCATAGGGGTAGCAGTACTATTATTGATCCTCTCTACTCGTACGATAGAGTAGTATTTGGTTATGATACCAGTAGAGTACTACCTCTACTACAGGTAACCGGTGATAATGTATGGAGTATTACAGCGTAGTAATACTCCTTCAGTACAAATAGCAATCGGGTAGTACCGTAGCCCTTCTTCCCCATACAGGCACATACTTTCCACCTCTCTCGTACAGGTAGGTACTCGTACATGAGCAACAAAAAATAAAACAGACTCAAACGTCAATTAAATGAGTCGATTACGTCCATACGAGTACTAATTAGTAATATTGCGAAGCACAAGAGGGCCCGGGCCCTGTAAGACTCTCAGAAAAGCCTGAGAAAGAACCCAAGGAACGGGAGGAACCACTGAGCAGTAAGAGTGTGCTCTGCTGAAGAGGACATGAGTCCTGCACTATGAGAGTGAGAGAACGGGCCTTTTTACCAATTGACAGGAGGAGGGCGGAGAACTGGCATTGATTGATCAACTTGTGTCTTTTCCGTTGTTGTTTTATTCTCATATTCTCTCACTCTCTCTTTCCTCTCTTCCTATCTCTGTCAGACGGAACGTATTACCATCTCCATTGCTGACTGTACTACATTATCATTCTATTGCTAGTCTCTGTACTACAGCATTCAATGCTGGTAGTAGTACTACTTGTACAGGTAGCAATATACCTCTACTCGTATGTCTGCATTTCTGTACTCCGTACGGAATATTATCTTTCACTCTATTGGTACAACTTATCGCTTCCCCCTCCTCCTCCCCTTCCCTCTTGGACGTATGGAACCCGGGGAACAAACCATTATGCATGTATCCCCGACCTCTCCTTCTGTATGAGTACATGGACGCCTACACAGTCCCCTATCCATGAGAACCTATGAGAGACAGCAACTGTTCACTCATCTCTCATCTCTCATAGACTACCTCCGGTAGTGTCATCCCCCTAAACTCGTACCACAGCAACTCACGAGTAATGAAAAAGGGGGCCAGGGTGTAATATCGTGTACGAGTACATCAACTCTCCATGAGCGGTGCGTGCGCTGCTTTTCTTTCCACAATGCCCACCACACCACGATCCGGGTGTGGGAAGAAAAGATGATCAGCGGAAAAAGGCCACACACATACGGTTATCGCCCTGCTTTTGAGCCTTTTGAGTCTCTGCTTTACCCGTACGAGTAAGCACGGCAAGAAAGAGAAGGGCCCCTTACTGAATTAGCCCCTTGACTTCCTTCTTTCAGAAACACATCAATGCCCTCGGCTTCCGTCTCCTGACAATACGTCGTACCCGTTGAATATGATAACATTGGTCGTCTGTCCGCGGATGCCTTCTCCGGACCGTCGCTTAACTACTCTATACATGTACAAGCGTATACGGTATTATGTTATGACGCTCATGCCACCATCAGAGGGGCACGTTTGCCGATCGACCCTCAACCCACTGCAGAGGTCTACACTTACAGCCTCAGGACTTTTCAGCTCAGATAAGGGGGTTTTGGTAATGTGGCTGCGTCGCGTGGCGTGGTCGCACAAAATAAACATTCAAGACATATAATATTCTATCGTACGAGTCGTACAATAAATATATATAAAAATTTTGAAGTAAAAAGAAGATGAGAGATGGACACACTCAGAAAGAAAGGGTAAGACGGTTTGTTATTATGTATTTCGACTGATCACATCTCGTGGATGTGAAAGTAACGCATAACAATGCAAATACATATACGAGTACAGCTTACTCGTATCCGACCTGCAAACAATATCGGCAGTGTAAGTCGTAATACATGTAATCTGTAGATAACAACTCATCGTCACACTCTCTGTCGAACATGTTGCTTGTCTGCCGTTTGTGTCCACGTGTCTTTGCGGACAAGTCTACCGAGGCAAACATTTGGCAAAATCACGACGGTAATCACGACTCTTTAACCCTTCAAAAGTGTTTGGTCTCACTAGAAGAACGCGATCCCATAATATCATCGACACTATGTTCCCCAATTGCATGGGCGCCTACCCTATAGCTTATATTGAAAATTCATCAGACTGTTATCTTGATAACTGATATTCTCTAAACACTACGACATATTACTGGTGCAGGACATGAAAGAGTAGATGTTAAAAGACAGAGCGGTTCAATTATCTCACCTGACTTTTTCTTTTGATACTAGCTGATACAATGAACAATGTCTACATGATTTCCTTTCGTCTTGGTGTGTTCATCAACGTACCATGTATAAAACAGAAACACATACAAAAACTCACTACATGTACATGAGATCTTCATCTTAGGAATGTACCTACCTTGGGACTACCAACCGAACACCAGAACACACATTTGTACATAGCCAAGCTACAAAGTAAGTGTGATAACAAAAAAAAGCCACAGAGTTAGTTCGAGACATAGACTCAAACACGGCGATCGAGCCAGCAGTATGCGTAACATTCAAGATCTGACCAAGATTCAAGATTCAACAACAACAACAACAGTAATAAGACCGGAAAACCAAGATCAATATTCGAGACCAAAGTTGTAGATCAAACCCGACCTGCATTCCAAGAGGGTAAGCAAGCAGGCAAGAGAAAAGAAAGCTACGAACCAAAGCATACGCGGGACCTTGCTGTCCTCTCCCGGGTATTTCCCCCCCCAACTCTCTGCTCTCTCTGACCTCCCTTCTGTTCCCCCTTCCCAAATTCCACCACGTGGAGCAAAATCCCATCCCTACCTCCTGGTCGGGCTGCCCGGGGGTGGTAGGCAAGAGAGCTCAGAGTGGGCATGTCCCTGTTCAACCCCCCCCTGGTTAGACCCTTGCTCTCCGGGACGCAGCCGCGGTCCCGCTTGTCTGGCACCAGAATCACCCAAGGTCCCAAGGTCCCCAACGATCACCAATGTTTCAATGAATTTCGTCCGTGGTCCCACATCTGTCGTGCTAGAGGTGTCGGGTGAGCAAGCCAAGCAGCAAGGCAAGTTTTACCGCCTGCCCTGTCAGCTCTCCCCTGAACTCCATAATACACCTTTACGTGATTTTTTTTCTTTGACTCGTACCGGCGGCGTACATATAAGACTTTTACCATTGTGTGTTTGACTACCCCTCCCTTCATGAAGAGTACTCTACTTTCCCTCTATCAATGATAAAGGGACGGAGGAATAAAAATGAATAAAGAGGGAGTGAGAAAGAAAAAGCAAAGGAAGAATGGGAATAAGAGAGAAAAGAAAATAAACGGGCAAGCAAGCAAAGCAAAGCAAGCAGACACTGTCCCGACACTGAACGAAATATCCCTACATGGGACACAGTGTCCGCTCCAACGCCAAAGAAGAAGAACATGGAGGACATGAGTTATGAGAGATTCTATCCCCCCACCCACACACGGGCCCCTTTTTCTTCGCTCCTTCCGTTGTCCTTCCACCTTGGCTTGGGTGAAAAAAAAAAAAAAAGACAAAGATAGTCCTTGCGCAAATCATGCCGAGGATCGGATAAGGAAAGACACTCACACAATCAAGGTGATAAACTAAAGAAAAGGATTACAACAAGAGAGAGAGGGAATTATACGGGCATGGTTTATGCATTATAAGAATTACTTGGCTCGTAATAATGTTCGGACTGTGAGCGAGGGTGGGATGCAAGGGCCAGACCATCATCTCTGCAGGGGGTTACGTGGTCTCCCGGTCAATGCGGTTCATCGCGATTAACACTGTATTAATACCTGCAATAATACCTGTATAAGTAGGCTGTAATCTGTACATGTATCATAACTCGTACTCTCCAAGTAATATGTTGTAGTTAATACTACCCGTACTCCCCTTCTATGCGAGGATGTGTAGCAGGCCGTTTCTTGATCTTTCTTGTGCCCTAATAATACGTGACGCACATT